GACAAAAATCATAAGTATTTCGCTAGAACTCCATTTTTTCTATCGAATGAGTACAAGAAACCACCCATTTACCGATTTCAACTATCCAATAAAGTGGTCAGAATTTAGCAATTTTGCCAATTTCACACTAATTTCAAAATATGCCAATTTCCAAATAGGGTCCAGAATAAACATGAGACATTCCTGGCACTAAAATAACATTTCCTCGGTTCATTAGTCATGTCCCCAGACCCCTCTTACATTTCTTTTGCTTTCCACTTCGATTTTTTATTCTCACAAAAAAAAAAAATAAGATTTACTGTTATGCAGACTACTGCATTAGTGTAGAAATGGTATAAATAATACCAGCGCACTTGTGAAAGAACATTAGACTCACCAGTTGACGTGTATTGGACGCTTAGCATGATTTGTTTACTTTTGAACTTTGGTAAAAATCGAACATTTCTGCTACTTTGAGCTCAATTTCAAGGTACTTTTCATTGTAAAACCAGTCAAAATCGTCTCAATTTCTGTAATATGTCTTCCATTCTATTACAGTGAGACCAGCAAAACTAGAATACAACAAGAAATACCATACGAAAATACAGTGGACCCCCGCTTAACGATCACCTCCAAATGCGACCAATTATGTAAGTGTATTTATGTAAGTGCATTTGTACGTGTATGTTTGGGGGTCTGAAATGGACTAATCTACTTCACAATATTCCTTATGGGAAAAAATTCGGTCAGTACTGGCACCTGAACATACTACTGGAATGAAAAAAGTTCGTTAACCAGGGGTCCACTGTACAGTGCAAAGTCGCTGTTTTAAACCAAAAACACAGTCAAAGTTTCTTTTTTCTCATTACGCACTGTGTGCTGGATTCTTTTTTATACTGCGCACACTGACCACATAGACCCATTCTTTCACATGTAGGCCTACCAGCTTTCTCTTGCTAGATTTTAGGGCGCTAGAATTTATGCGTACTAGTATACTTCAAAAACCCAGGCGCATAAGCCGTACTAGTACAGCCGAAACCCCGAAAGGGTTAAAATGCAAAAATCTCGTCCAGCTCTTCAGAACTGGGGCACGTGCCCAAAATACAGCAGGTATTACCCCTCTGAACAGCAGCACTGAGTCGCTGGAACAGAAAGCTAGCTGCCCTGGGATTCCTAGTTACCCTGACAAGTCTTTTGCATAGCTCCTTAAGGAACTTAGATGCACTCTTTCCCCATGAGCCAAGGGTCTCTAAGCCTATGGGAACATACATATAATGATGGGCAAGTTCTCCATATTTTCTAGACTTTTGGGACTCCCTGAAGCTGGTGGCTGCCCTTCCCTCCCTGGTGTATTGGAGATAGGTATCAGCCAAGGTAGATGCACATGTGTAGTCCCACACCACCTGCTTACCGTCTGTCCAGGCTTGAAGTGTGATACCATTTGGATGCTTCTGGCTGCCAGCAGATCTGCATAGTTGGGGTGGCTCCCTTACTGCTGGGCATCTGGCTGTTGTGAGGCTCCTCTTGATGTTATTAACCTCCTCATGTCTTGCAATCTTTCCCTCAGATTTACAGCACACAAGACCATGGTACCCAAATCGGTCTGCTGCTTCACTGCCACAAATACACCTGTGTTCGGTGAGAATAGGGACGGCAAGTTGAAGGGCAACACCAATGCGGATGGTCTGTGGGTCGAGCCGTGTGCCAAGGCTGGAGTTGGGAACAGCCAACAGAAAGTCCCATGCATGAGGAGCTCTCAGTGCCAGGAGGTGGGCTCTATCCTTCCTTGACACACACACTGAAGCATTGTTGAGGCTATTTTCTCCACTATCGGGCCATCCCAGTGCGACTGTTTTTAGTTGTTGGGGGGAGTAGGTCTGGTTTCAGAGCCCGTTAGATTATCCCAGATCATGGCTCCGTCAATGAACTTTTAGTCCTGGACTCCAATCTTGTCCCTAACATTTTCAGGGAGAATTGCTGCTACAAGCCCTCTGGATGTAATGCATGAGGACAGAAAAGCAGGTAGTGCAATGGGTGATGACTTGCAGACACCAATGCCTCCAAGTCTGACTAAGTGTAGCTTGGTTCCACTGCCAGTCTTCTAGAGTAAGGTTAAGTACTTTTGTAAAAATATACCTCAGGATGCTGTCGTATTTGTGCAGTATAGGGTTATCATATGAAGGTGCACATCTTAGGAAATGTGTCAACCTGGGCAGACTCGAGCACTTTTTGAGAAGGTACGAGGCATCGTGGGCGTCAAGATTGCCTATTCGTTGTTCCATTCTCCTCAATTCTTCCAATTTCTTCCTGAGAATTGTGTCAATGGCATCCCTTCCCAGACGTGCTCCAAGCAAGACGCTATTTGTAGGGGCAATGACTGATGCTCCTGGTAATTTGCATCTCAATGCATTTATCACTTGTTGACTGACTGAAATGATTTCACATTTGGATGGATTCAGGATGAGACCCATTTCCTGCCCCTGTATCATCACTTGTGTAAGATCACCTAAGAGGGACTACTTTGTACCTGCTATTGTGCCGTCATCTAGGAACTGGATGTTTAGCTCACTGGTCAGTCTGTGATTTCCCTAACTGCTATACAGAAGAGAAATGGTGCAAGAGGATCCCCTTGCTGGACACCCTCTGATGATTTGATTTCATGCTCTCCAAACAGCATTGATTCCTTGCTATATCCAGCTGAAACAAAGGGGAAGAGACCAGGAAAATGTTCTTGTACCGGTGCTAATGCCACATCTCTTCAGGAGATTAAATGCATTCTTGAAGTCTAATTTTACCACTGCATTGTCCTCAGGCAGGTTGTTGATATGCACCTTTGTTGCACGAACCGCTGCTTCACTTCCTTGAGACCCCCCCAAAACCAAACTGGTTTGGTTGAAGCATCATGGCTGCCTCTGTGCGAATGCTTCGGACAACAGCTTTGGAAACAAGGCGGCGAAAAGTGTTGCCTACTGCAATACGCCTAATTCCTCCATCCTTCTTTTTAAGTGCACTAAGTGTTGCACCAAAAAAGAAAGGTTTAATTTCGTCAGGAATCAGACCAGCCAAGGAATTGACGAAATTTGTGATCTCTGAAAGCAGTCTCTCTGCAATCTCCCCAATAACTGGATTAACCATTTCCTTTAAATACTGTGGCCTTATTCCAGTGTAACCCCCAGCAGAGCCAGATGGGAACGACACTATTGCTTTGTAAATGTCCAAGTCTTCCACGATCAATGATTCCACAGTAGGGACAGAGGTGTTGGAACTGTTGGTGCCCCTGATTTCCCTGGCAAGGCACTTTCCTCTAAGTGCTTCTGCTGTGTCAGCATCCCTGGGGGCAACTGTATCTTCACTGGTAATAATTCTGATTGCCCCCCACTGTGTTGCCCTCTTCAATTTTCTTGCTCACTTGCACTCTGACTTTTTCACTGTCAGTGGTGCGAGTGGGGGTTCTGCCTATCCCATTTTTGTATTGACGGGGAAGGCAAATGAGGTTATCAGTTCTAGGAAAGTCTCTTAAAGATTTAATAATCATTGAGACAAGCCTCTTTCCCCTTTTTTTCTGGCACAGCTAAGCAGACATTGCCAAAAAGTAACAAGCTGTGCCATGCCTTGATGGTTGGAGGACCATTTAGGATAGTGGAACCATCGTTTACTTTTTTTAAGAGGTCTGCAAGTTTCCCAGCTGCATGTGGATGGGCTGCTTTGGGAATATGTGCGAGTGTCTTGGTACCTGTTGCTTTAATTGCTTCCAAGATATCATCTGAGGAGATGAGGTCTGTTGGAGTGGGTTCAGATGCCTGAGGTGGATCTGGATCATCACTTTCCACAGGAGGACATCCTGAACCAGGGCAGCTACCGTGTTTGCGGAGGAAACCATTAGAGTTGAGACCGAGGCTGTAAGCACGACCAGCACTTGCCTCTCCTAGTATCGCCAGCCATACCATTTCCCTGGTTGCTCGCTTCCTCCTGGTTGGCATCCATCTGCCTAGACTAGACTGTAGGAGTGGAGTATGACATACTGGGTGGGTATGGTGCATAGAACGTAGTAAACTTGACTGAGGTGGCCTGGTGGAGTTTGAGAGGTTAGTGAAGGGCTGGGAGGAGAAAGGGAAAACCGCTACTGGGAACTGGGTGGGGGAGGCTCTGGTAGTGGGTGGGGGAGGCGCAGGTTGTTGGGTCGGGTTAGCCCCGGGAGAGGGGTGAGGGGAGTACAATACACATGAACTTGCACACTATATATTGTTCACACTTTCTTACAATACACACATTATTTGTTTCCCATGTACATCATGATCGAAGCGGGTATGGGCGCTGCTGTCCCCACGTATACCCTCACCACCTACACACCGCGCCTCTTCCCCACACCCCCATGTATAGTGTGTCAATATTGATTTCCACATTCTGATTTGTATACCATGTCACCTAAACAGTTTTGGTACTTGCAAACAACAATTAAAAATACAATATTTAAATATTTATGGGTAACCTAGAAAAAATGCAAAGTATGGCAAAAACATAAGCATGTTAAAACAAAAAGAAAAACCCAGAGAGAATCAACAGAATTTAGTATAAATATTCATTCAAAAGATGGAAAAGAAAAAAGTATGAAATGGATTAAAAATGCATCATAAAAAGCATAACTAATCACCAGTATTTAAAAGTTTGCCAAAATGAATAAGCCTGCAAGGTGACCTATCTACATCCTTTGGTCTGGTATATCCCACACACTTTTTTTTTTCAACAAACTGAGGTAGGGTAACCTAGAAAGAAAAACAAAAGGTTTTCTTTTTAAATTTAGTAACTTATAGAGAAGGTTACAAACCCCTTTCTCCTGGCATTTTCGTCACCCTTTACGACATGCGTGTCTTACAGAAGAAGAATTCAACGCATGTACTTACTGATATATATGGAGCACAATAGACTACTGCTGTGGAATGAAAAAAAAATCCCATTTGCTACCATCAAATTACAGTGGACCCTCGGTTATCGGCTGTTCCTGTTATAGGCCAACTTGGTTATCAGCCATTATTTCGTTTATCGGCCGTATGGGATGCACACACCGCCCGCCGGCAGCCGCTCGCGTCAGTCTGGCCATGTCTCTGGGCAAGTGAGGAAGTTTCTGCTCTTTCATCCAAACATTTTACTATAATCAATTGTTTTTGGTGGTTATTTATTAAGTGCAACTGCGAAATAAGTCACCATGGTCTCAAAGAAAGTGCTTAGTAAAGTTACTTTGGTAAAGAAAACGAGAAACACGATAGAATTCAAGGCAGGCAGGCATAGAGACGAGGAGTGCAGCAGGCCAGCATTAGTCTTCAATAACAGAGGGTCCACTGTGCTGCCCTATCAGCCCGACATCAATAATGGGTAAATTATTAGAATCGACAACAGCGGACACAATTACAAGCCACCCTGATTAACATAAATAGTAAACGATTCACAGAGCATTCTTGCCTAACAAATTTACTGAATTACCTAGAATTCAGTAAGGCTTTTTGTAAGCCCCACACAGGTTAAAAAAAAAAAAAAAAAAAAAAAAAAGGTGGCAGGTAAAGTTCTCTCATGGGTTGAGGCATGGCTAAGAAACAGTAGTCTGAATGAATGGGATAAAGTTGGAACGGGGTTCAATGCATTTTCAACCAAAATACACTATATGGATATGACTTATTTTAGCCAAAAAATTAAACAACATAGGTATCAAGTGTTTACATTGAAGCATATATGTGAGCAGTATTTAGATAAAGGGCAATGTGTGGTGTAAATATGCAGAAAATTCGGAGAGTGGAAATTAGGAGAAGGTGTGGAGTTAATAAAAGCATTAGTTAGAGGGCAGAAGAGGGGTTGTTGAGGTGGTTTGGTCATTTAGAGAGAATGGATCAAAGTAGAATGACATGGAAAGCATATAAATCTATAGGGGAAGGAAGGAGGGGTAGGGGTCGTCCTCGAAAGGATTGGAAAGAGGGGGTAAAGGAGGTTTTGTGGGCGAGGGGCTTGGACTTCCAGCAAGCGTGCATGAGCGTGTTAGATAGGAGTGAATGGAGACGAATGATACTTGGGACCTGACGATCTGTTGGAGTGTGAGCAGGGTAATATTTAGTGAAGGGATTCACAGAAACCGGTTATTTTCACATAGTCGGACTTGAGTTCTGGAAATGGGAAGTACAATGCCTGTACTTTAAAGGAGGGGTTTGGGATATTGGCAGTTTGGAGGGATATGTTGTGTATCTTTATACGTATATGCTTCTAAACTGTTGTATTCTGAGCACCTCTGCAAAAACAGTGATAATGTGTGAGTGTGGTGAAAGTGTTGAATGATGATGAAAGTATTTTCTTTTTGGGGATTTTCTTTCTTTTTTGCATCACCCTGCCTCGGTGGGAGACGGCTGACTTGTTGGGGAGAGAGAAAAAAAAAAAAGTTTTTATTGCATTTATGGATTTAGAAAAGGCATATGATAAGAGTGGATAGGAGAGCATTATGGCAGATGTTGCAAGTGTATGGAATAGGTGGTAAGTTACTAAATGCTATTAAGAGTTTTTATGAGGATAGTGAGGCTCAGGTTAGTGTGTGTAGAAGAGAGGGAGACTACTTCCCGGTAAAAGTAGGTCTTAGACAGGGATGTGTAATGTCACCATGGTTGTTTAATATATTTATAGATGGGACTGTAAAAGAAGTAAATGCTAGGGTGTTCGGGAGAGGTGTGGGATTAAATTATGGGGAATTAAATACAAAATGGGAAATGACACGGTTACTTTTTGCTGATGATACTGTGCTTATGGGAGATTCTAAAGAAAAATTGCAAAGGTTAGTGGACGAATTTGGGAGTGTCTGTAAAGGTAGAAAGTTGAAAGTGAACATAGAAAAGAGTAAGGTGATGACAGTATCAAATGATTTAGATAAAGAAAAATTGGATATCAAATTGAGGAGGGGTATGGAAAAAGTGAACGTTCTCAGATATTTGGGAGTTGACGTGTCAGTGGATGGATTTATGAAGGATGAGGTTAATCATAGAACTGAAGGCAAAAAGGTGAGTGGTACACTGAGGTATATGTGGAGGCAAAAAATGTTATCTATTGAGGCAAAGAAGGGAATGTACGAAAGTATAGTACAGTGGACCCCTGGTTCGCGATGCTATAGGTATCCGATAAATCCGGTAACCGAAGCATTATATTGCAGAGAATTTGCCTCGGTTCCTGTTACAAAACCTGGTATGCAATACGATTCGTACAAGACATGTCCACGTGTGGCCTGAACTGCCCTGTGTGTGCCAGTGTTTGCAAGCCAGCCAGTGCTCACGCATCTAAGGATACATTCGGTACATTCTATTATCCATATCAATTTTTGGTGCTTGTTTCTGCAAAATAAGTCACCATGGGCCCCAAGAAAGCTCCTAGTGCCAACCCTTCGAGACCAAGGGTGCTAATGACTGTTGAAATGAATAAAGAGATAATTGCAAAGTACGAAAGTGGAGTGCGTGTGTCAGAGCTGGTCAGGTTGTATAGTAAACCCCAATCAACCATCTCTACTATAGTGAGCAGGAAAATGGCAATCAAGGAAGCTGTTCTTGCAAAAGGTGCAACTGTGATTACGAAACAGTGATCGCGAGTGTTAGAAAATGTTGAGAGACTATTATTGGTGTGGATAAATGAAAAACAGATAGCAGGAGATAGCATCTCTCAAGCGATCATTTGTGAAAAGGCTAGGCAGTTGCATGACGAATTGGTAAAAGAATTGCCTGGAACTAGGTGATGCGAGTGAATTTAAGGCCAGCAAAGGTTGGTTTGAAAGATTTAAGAATCGTGGTGGCATACATAGTGTGATTAGGCATGGTGAGGCTGCCAGTTCAGACCACATAGTGGCTGAAAAATATGTGCATGAATTCAAGGAGTACAGAGAGGCTGAAGGATTGAAACCTGAACAAGTGTGTAATTGTAACGAAACAGGCCTGTTTTGGAAGAAATTGCCCAGCAGGACCTACATTACTCAGGAGGAAAAGGCACTCCCAGGACATAAGCCTACGAAAGACAGGCTTACTCTTCTCGTGTGTGCCAATGTTAGTGGTGATTGCAAAGTGAAGCCTTTATTAGTGTATCACTCAAACTCCCAGAGCGTTCAGGCAAAAGAATATCCTCAAGGCTAATTTGTGTGTGCTGTGGAGGGCAAACAGTAAGGCATGGGTCACTAGGGTCTTCTTCTATGACTGGTTACACCATGCATTTGCCCCAATGTGAAAAATTACCTAACTGAAAAGAAATTAGACCTTAAGTGACTCCTGGTATTAGACAATGCCCCTGATCATCCTACAGACTTGGCAGAGTGACTTTCTGGGGACATGAGTTTCATTAAGGTCAAGTTTTTGCCTCCTAATACCACTCCTCTCCTGCAGCCCATGGACCAGCAGGTCATTACCAACTTCAAGAAGCTGTACACGAAAGCTGTTTGAAAGGTACTTTGAAGTGACCACAGAAACTCTATTGACTCTAAAGGAGTTTTGGAAGGATCACTTTAATATCCTCAACTGTGTAAACCTTATAGGTAAGGCTTGGGAGGGAGTGACAAGAGGACCTTGAACTCTGCCTGGAAAAAAACTGTGGCCAGAATGTGTAGACAAAAGGGATTTCAAAGGGTTTGAGGCTAACCCTGAGAAGCCTATGTCAGTTGAGGAATCCATTGTGGCATTGGGGAAGTCCTTGGGGTCGGAGGTTAGTGGGGAGGATGTGGAAGAGTTGGTTAACGACAATGAAGAACTAACCACTGATGAGCTGCAAGATCATCAACAGCAAGAGGCTACACCTGAGGAAACTGCTTCGGAGGAGGGGAGAGAAATTGAAGAAGTTGCCTACTTCAAAGATTAAGGAAATATGTGCAAAGTGGCTTGAAGTGCAAACCTTTATGGATAAAAATCACCCTCACACAGCTATTGCAAGTCGTGCTGCTGACTATTACACTGACAATGTTGTGAAACACTTTAGGAAAGTCATAAAGGAACGAGAGGTACAGGCCTCTATGGACAGATATGTTGAGCGAAAGAAGTCCAGTCACTCTCAAGCTGGTCCTAGTGGCATTAAAAGAAGGGAAGTAACCCCAGAAAAAGACTTGACACCAAGTCCTAATGGAAGGGGATTCCCCTTCTAAACACTAAGACCATCCACACACACCCCTCCTCCCATCCCATCAGTCATCAACAGATCTTCAATAAAGGTAAGTGTCATGTAACTGTGCATGTCTTCTTCAGTTTGTGTGTATTAAAATTAATATTTCATGTGGTAAATTTTTTTTTTTTCATACTTTTGGGTGTTTTGCACAGATTAATTTGATTTCCATTATTTCTTATGGGGAAAATTTATTCACTTTCCGATAATTTTGGTTTACAATGAGCTCTCAGGAACGGATTAATATCATGAACCGGGGGGTCCACTGTAGTACCAACACTCTTATATGCGTGTGAAGCTTGGGTTGTAAACGCTGCAGCAAGGAGGCGGTTGGAGGCAGTGGAGATGTCCTGTCTAAGAGCAATGTGTGGTGTAAATATCGTGCAGAAAATTCGGAGTGTGGAAATTAGGAGAAGGTGTGGAGTTGTTAAAAGTATTAGTCAGAGGGCTGAAGAGGGTTTGTTGAGGTGGTTTGGTCATTTAGAGAGAATGGATCAAAGTAGAATGACATGGAGAGCGTATATATCTGTACGGGAAGGAAGGCGGGGTAGGGGTCATCCTCGAAAAGGTTGGAGGGAGGGGGTAAAGGTGGTTTTGTGGGCGAGGGGTCTGGACTTCCAGCAAGCCTGCGTGAGCGTGTTAGATAGGAGTGAATGGAGACAAATGGTATTTGTGACCTGACGATCTGTTGGAGTGTGAGCAGGGTAATATTTAGTGAAGGGATTCAGGGAAACCGGTTAGTTTATATAACCGGACTCGAGTCCTGGAAATAGGAAGTACAATGCCTGCACTCTAAAGGAGGGGTTTGGGATATCGGCAGTTTGGAGAGATATATTGTGTATTTTTATACGTATATACTTCTAAACTGTTGTATTCTGGGCACCTCTGCAAAAACTGATTATGTGTGAGTGAGGTGAAAGTGTTGAATGATGAAAGTATTTTTTTGGGGGGATTTTCTTTCTCTTTGGGTCACCCTGCCTCGGTGGGAGACGGCCGACTTGTTGAGAAAAAAAAAATCATTAGATAATTAAAAAATATACACACTAGAATTACACATGAAAAACTTCATAGTAATAGTGAAGCAACAAAATGTAAAACTTTATCTGTCTCTCATTAATATCAAGACTGCACAAATGTCTTACCTTCAATATTTCTTTTTCAGGAACATGAGGAAAGCGACGCTGCAGTGCACACCTCATAACACGTGCCATGAAGAGCATGGCATATGGTACGAGGTCCCTATTTGTAGTAATTTGCTGACAAAAGGCCAATGTGAGTTCCTTCAGTGTAGTGATGGCTTGAGCCAGCCTCTTCTGAACTTCTGGGTACTGCAGTGCCTCATCCTGGTTTACTGTATACGGTAGACCACTGAAATGTTAATAATACCATATTTTTACTTTTTTTCAACAAGTCGGCCATCTCCCACTGAGGCAGGGTGACCCAAAAAGAAAAAATCCCCAAAAAGAAAACTCTTTCACCATTCAACACTTTCACCTCGCTAATACATAATCACTATTTTTGCAGAGGCACCCAGATACAACAGTTTAGAAGCATACAAAGATATATAACATCTCTCCAAACTGCCAATATTCCAAATCCTTCCTTTAAAGTGCATGCACTGTACTTCCCATTTCCAGTACTCAAGTCTGGCTATATAAAACTAACCGGTTTCCCTGAATCCCTTCACTAAATGTTACCCTGCTCGCACTCCAACAGCTCGTCAGATCCCAAAAATCATTCATCTCCATTCACTCCTAACACGCTTGCTGGAAGTCCAAGCCCCTTGCCCACAAAACCTCCTTTACCCCCTCTCTCTAACCATTTTGAGGATGACTCCTACCCTGCCTTCCTTCCCTACAGAAGGTATATGCTCTCAATGTCATTCTACCTTCATCCATTCTCTCTAAATGACCAAACCACCTCAACAACCCCTCTTCAGTCCTCTGACTTATACTTTTATTAACTCCACACCTTCTAATTTCCACACTCGGAATTCTCTACATCATAGTATATACACCACACACTGCCCTTAGACAGGACATTTCCACTGCCTCCACCACCTCGCTGCAGCACTGACAACCCAAGCTTCATACCCATATAAGTGTTGGTACCACCATACTTTAATATATTCCATTCTTTGCCTCCATAGATAACATTTTTTTGTCTCCACATACTTCAATGTACCCCACCCCTCTTTTCCTTCATTAATTCTATGGTTAACCTTAATATTCACTTCTTTCGTACTCCCTCTCTCCAATGTGATCTCCAATTTTCTTTCATCTAAATCATTTGATACCCTCAACACCTTACTCTTATCTATGTTCACTTTCAACTTTCTACCGTTACACACCCTCCCAAACTCATCCACTAACCTCTGCAGCTTTTCTTTAGAATCTCCCATAAGCACAGTATCATCAGCAAAAAGTAACTGTCAACTCCCATTTTGTATTTGATTCCCCATAATGTAATCCCACCCCTCTCACCAACACCCTAGCTTTACTTCTATTACAACTCCATCTGTAAATACAGTGGACCCCCGGTTATCGGCCGGTTTGGTTATCAGCCAACTCGGTTATCGGCAGGTTTTTCGGCGCCAGGTTATCGACCGTTCGCTCGGTTATCAGCGGTTCTGGATGCGTCCATCCTCCGGCTGGGGCAGCTTGCGCTTCAGTTTGGCTCTGTCTCTTGGTGGCTGAGGAGGCTTCTGCTCATACATCCAAACATTACGTTTGTTTACCACTGTTTTTAGTGTTTTCTTGCAGTGCAACCGTGAAATAAGTAACCATGGCTCCAAAGAAAGCTCCTAGTAAAGTTCCTGTGGTAAAGAAAGTGAGAAACACCATGGAATTTAAGCATGAAGTGATCGAAAAGTTTGAGAGTGGTATGAAGGTGATGGAACTTGCCAGGATGTACAGCAAGAATAAATCAACAATTACATCCATCCTGACAAAGAAAGAAGAAATCAAAGATGCTAATGTTGCAAAAGGAGCAGCTTTTCTAATTAAACAAAGACCACCGATAATGGAAGAGATGGAAAAGTTATTATTATTGTGGATTAAGGAAAAAGAATTAGTGGGAGACAGTGTAGTGGAGTCTTCTATTTGTGAGAAGGCAAAGCAGTTGCATGAGGATCTTGCGAAGAAAATGCCTGGAACAAGTGCTGCAGTTTGTGAATTTAGGGCCAGCAAAGGATGGTTTGATTGATTTAAGAGGCATAGTGGCATACACAGTGTTGTAAGGCATGGTGAGACTGCAAGTTCTGATAAATGTGCAGCTGAACAGTATGTTCACAAATTTCAGGACTATGTAAAGGCTGAAGGATTTGAACCCCAACAAGTTTTCAATCGTGAGGAAACAGGCCTGTTTTGGAAGAAAATGCCAAAGAGAACCTACATTACCCAGGAGGAAAAGGCACTGCCAGGACACAAGCCTATGAAAAACAATGTCATGAAGAATAGATTGTGTGTCATGTGGAAAGATAATCACAAGGCATGGGTCACAAGGCAAATTTTCAACGAGTTAATGGTGTGTTTGGCCCAAGTGTGAAAAAAAATACCTCCTGGAAAAGAAATTGCCACTCAAGTGCCTCCTGTTACTGGACAATGCTCCTGCACATTCTCCAGACTTGAAAGACCAAGTGTTTAGGACTTCAGTTTTATAAAAGTGAAGTTCTTGCCTGCTAACACCACTCCTCTCCTCCAGCCCATGGACCAGCAGGTCATTTCTAACTTCAAAAAAAACTACACAAAAGCTGTTTCAAAAGTGCTTTGAAGTGACCTCGGACACTTGGTTGACCCTAAGACAGTTCTGGAGGAATCACTTCACTATCCTCCATTGCATAAGCCTTATGGGTAAGGCTTGGGAGGGAGTGACTTCCAGGACTTTGAACTCTGCTTGGAGAAAACTGTGGCCAGATTGTGTCAAAGAGGGATTTTGAAGGGTTTGAGAGTCATTGTGACCCTGACACTGCCGACCCTGTGGACTCTATTGTGTCTTCGGGGAAGTCCCTGGGGTTGGAGGCGAGTGGTGAGGATATGGAAGAGTTGGAGGACCACAGGTTAGAGCTTACCACTGAAGAGCTGCAAGAGCTTCAACTTGAACAGCAACAGACTGCAGCTGAGGAACTTGCTTCAGAGGAGGAGCAAGAGAGTGAAGGAGGTGCCTTCTTCAGAGATTAAAGGTGTGTGTGCAATGTGGACCAGGGTGCAAGCATTTGTAGAGAACCACCATCCTGACAAAGCTGAAACAAGCCGTATCTGCAACATGTTTAGTGACAAAACCCTGTCACACTCCAGGGAAATCTTAAAGAGATGCTAGAAACAGAGCACTCTGGACAGTTATTTTGTGAGACAGGGGTCCAGTGTCTCTCAAGCTGGCTCTAATGGCATTAAAAGACAGAAGGGAAGTAACCCCAGAGAAGGCATTACTACCTAAAGTCTTCATAGAGGGGGATTCCCCTTCCAAACACTAACTCCTCCCTCTTTCCTCCTCTCTATCTTCCAGAAGCCAGCATTAGCCTTCAATAAAGGTATGTAATACTTACATAATAGTAAAAAAAAAATTTTTTTTTGTAAATATTTTTGTTGGGAACGAATTAATTTTTTTTTTTTTCAACAAGTCAGCCGTCTCCCACCGAGGCAGGGTGACCCAAGAAAGAAAATCCCCAAAAAGAAAATACTTTCATCATCATTCAACACTTTCACCACACTCGCACATTATCACTTTTTGCAAAGGTGCTCAGAATACACAGTTTAGAAGCATACACATATAAAGATACACAACATATCCCTCCAAAGTACCAATATCCCAAACCCCTCCTTTAAAGTGCAGGCATTGTACTCCCCATTTCCAGGACTCAAGTCCGACTATATGAAAATAACCGGTTTCCCTGAATCCCTTCACTAAATATTACCCTGCTCACACTCCAACAGATCGTCAGGTCCCAAGTACCATTCGTCTCCATTCACTCCTATCTAACACGCTCACGCATGCTTGCTGGAAGTCCAAGCCCCTTGCCCACAAAACCTCCTTTACCCCCTCTCTCCAACCCTTTCGAGGACGACCCCTACCCCGCCTTCCTTCCCCTATAGATTTATATGCTTTCCATGTCATTCTACTTTGATCCATTCTCTCTAAATGACAAAACCACCTCCACAACCCCTCTTCTGCCCTCTGACTAATACTTTTATTAACTCCACACCTTTTCCTAATTTCCACACTCTGAATTTTCTGCATTATATTTACACCACACATTGCCCTTAAACAGGACATCTCCACTGCCTCCAACCGTCTCCTCGCTGCTGCATTTACCACCCAAGCTTCACACCCATATAAGAGTGTTGGTATTACTATACTTTCATACATTCCCTTCTTTGCCTCCATAGATAACGTTTTTTGACTCCACATATACCTCAACGCACCACTCACCTTTTTTCCCCTCATCAATTCTATGATTAACCTCATCCTTCATAAATCCATCCGCCGACACGTCAACTCCCAAGTATCTGAAAACATTCACTTCTTCCATACTCCTCCTCCCCAATTTGATATCCAATTTTTCTTTATCTAAATCATTTGATACCTTCATCACCTTACTCTTTCGTACGTTCACTTTCCACTTTCTACCTTTACACACATTCCCAAACTCATCCACTAACCTATGCAATTTTTCTTTAGAATCTCCCATAAGCATAGTATCATCAGCAAAAAGTAACTGTCAATTCCCATTTTGAATTTGATTCCCCAAAATTTAATCCCACCCCTCTCCCGAACACCCTAGCATTTACTTCCTTTACAACCCCATCTATAAATATATTAAACAACCATGGTGACATTACACATCCCTGTCTAAGACCTACTTTTACCAGGAAGTAGTCTCCCTCTCTTCTACACACCCTAACCTGAGCCTCACTATCCTCATAAAAACTCTTTACAGCATTTAATAACTTGCCACCTATTCCATATACTTGCAACATCTGCCACATTGCTCCTCTATCCACTCTATCATATGCCTTTTCTAAATCCATAAATGCAATAAAAACTTCCCTACCTTTATCTAAATACTGTTCACATATATGCTTCAATGTAAACACTTGATCTACATATCCCCTACCCACTCTGAAACCTCCTTGCTCATCCGCAATCCTACATTCTGTCTTACCTCTAATACTTTCAATTATAACCCTACCGTACACTTTTCCTGGTATACTCAGTAAACTTATTCCTCTATAATTTTTAGTCTCTTTTGTCCCCTTTCCCTTTATATAAAAGGACTATACATGCTCTCCACCAATCCCTAGGTACCTTCCCCTCTTTCATACATTTATTAAACAAAAGTACCAACCACTCCAACACTATATCCCCACCTG